GACTTTGGACCAATCACCAGGAGACAGTGAGTTCTAGTCCTGCCTTAGTCATGAAAACCAGCTGGACGACTTTGGACCAATCACCAGGAGACAGTGAGTTCTAGCCCCACCTTAGGCATGAAAGCTGATTGGGTGACTGGGCCAATCACCAGGAGACGGTGAGTTCTAGTCCTACCTTAGGCACAAAAGCTGCCTATGTGACTTTCAGCCAGTCCCTCTATCTCAGCCCACCTCACAGGGTTGTTGTTGTGGGAGAAATAGGAGGAGTAATGGATAATGGCTGTGTTTGCTGCCTTGAGTTATTTGTAAAATATTAAAAGGTGGGATATAAATTAATAAATACAGTAAGCATGCAGATCTTGGCTAGTGCTAACTGCAGTTAGTTTTCGTGACTCAACAAAAGCTTGCACGACAAAAGCGTGCCCACAAAATCACGTCGCTAAAACTGCGACGTCATCAACGCGCCGACAACAGCGCGGCGACAACAGCACGTCGACAGAAGGGCGATTTACAACAGCGCAGCGACAGAAGGGCGATTTAAGTTAAGGTAAGGGTTAGGTTTAGGGTTAGTGTTACATTTAGAGTTATGGTTAGCATTAGCGTTAGGTTTAGGGTTACATTTAGGGTTAGGTTTACAGCGCGCTTCTGTCACCGCGCTGTTGTCGGCGCGATTCAGCGCTCATTCGTCGGAGTGCGGTTTAGAACTCGCGGTTTTGTCACCGCGGTTTAGTCGGGCGCGCTTTTGTCGGTCGCCCTTTTGTCGGTGAACCGTTAGTTTTTATTGGGGCTCAGGCAAAAAAAAACAACAACAACTCCAATGCAGTTAGTTTATAGCTGAGTGTCTTGCGCAAACCAGGACATAAACTAACATACGGCACAAACCAGGCTGGTAAATTGAATATTTCCCTTAAACCATCTATTTTCAACGGTTTGCTCACACAGGGAGAATCCCTCTCTTTAAAATCCAGTTTCCGTTACCTTTTGACCGACTTCACCATCACTGCCCTTGCTTCCCTGGAGGACACAAAAGGAAAAGGTAAGTTTCTAGTCCTCATGGTGCCACACATTTGGTTTGACCAGCATTTTAGGTTACTGCTCTGGATGAGATGCAGACTGTGAATAGCAACAAGGGGGATTCTTCCAGGAAGGAGGGTGTAATTTTACACATCTCTTTACCTTCCCGGAGTAACTTGTCTTTCATAGCAAGTATATAAGCAGAACGCAATCTCCCTTCCTTGCAGCACTGATGATGTTACCCAGTTGGGTTGTCAAATGTCTTTAAGAAAACAACCAAACTCTGAGAGACACCAAGGACCCCACAGTCGTTCCTCCTCCTTTTCCTCTTCCTCCTCCTCCTCCTCCCTTTCCTCTTTCCCCTTTTAGCACTGATGATGTTAGCTAGTTGGGACATGAAATGCCTTTAAGTAAACAACCAAACTCTGAGAGACACCAAGGACCCCACAATTGCCTCTTCATTCTCCCTTCTCCTTCCTTCCTTCCTTCCTTCCTTCCTTCCTTCCTTCCTTCCTTCCTTCCTTTTTTCTCTTCTATTTCCTTCCCTCTTCATTCTCCTTTCTCCTTCCTTTTCTTCGTTTTCCTTCCCTCTTCATTCTCCTTCCTTCCTTCCTTCTTCATTCTCCTTTCTTCCTTTTCTTCTTTTTCCTTCCCTCTTCATTCTCCTTCCTTCCTTCCTTCCTTCCTTCCTTCCTTCTTCATTCTCCTTTCTTCCTTTTCTCCTTTTTCCTTCCCTCTTCATTCTCCTTTCTCCTTCCTTCTTCATTCTCCTTTCTTCCTTTTCTTCTTTTTCCTTCCCTCTTCATTCTCCTTCCTTCCTTCCTTCTTCATTCTCCTTTCTTCCTTTTCTTCTTTTTCCTTCCCTCTTCATTCTCCTTCCTTCCTTCCTTC